GAAGTATTTCAGATTCGAGTACCTCTCATACACACCAATTAAAATGCATGATCGTCCGGTAAATCTCAAAGTATCGAATCCTTTATTACGGCACGCGAACTAATCTACAAGTTAAACGAATCATTAATTGAAGCAAATATATGTATATGTATATATAAATAAGCAAGTAAGCAAGTAAGTAAATATATACTAACAAAACTTCAAGTAACTAAGACAAATTACTAAGAACATAGCTATTAAGTCGTTCTATCTGCGCAACTAAACATCTGAAAAATCTTTAATGAACTGAAATTGCATTCAGTAGGCATGGAACTCTTAAAATCTTTGAGATGGAATGGGAAATAATGTGACTTAACAGATTGGACAATTTTTTTGCTAATGAACCGTTTGAAAAAATCACGTAATGAGATAAGTTTTTCATTTTCATCATCAGTTCTTAGGAACTCTGCGCATTTATAGCAATTAATCTAAATTGGACTAATCTAAAATTGAAAGCATGATAATTTGTACATAATAGTTTTTAGTTCTGCCATTATATTATTTTTAACATATTTTTTATTCGGAGCTGCTGGGGTCCACCTGGGGTATTTTTATCCCTAAGTAACTCTATGGTGAAAAAGACAGGTCTCCTTAACATAACGTCCATGTATCCCGACGCGCATACTACTTCTGAGCTGGTAGTACATGCGATAAATATACTACTAACGATGGCGTCCGACCGAGCATTTTGGAGAAATCTTACCCTTGTAGCCAGTGGAGCCAGCCTAACCAGTAATGGTGAGAGCTATTAGAAGAAGAAGTATTTGGAGAACAATTTCTTCATAGATAATTGATAAGTATCTCTATTTATCATTTTAGTGGTTCTCAAATTTTTTAAAGTGAATCAGAAATGGATCAAATTATGCAATACAAATAATAATTCTTAAAAAATTCTCACTGTTCTTCTTGGATCCTATGATGGTTTCATTACGTCGAAATGTTAGGCCTCTCTATGTTAAAAAAAATTGTCGCAGCCGGTGTAACATTTCGGCCCCGTTCATATCTTGGAAAATTATTATTGGGTTCCACATTTGTTTTCCGACTCCTTGCCAACATGATAAGATTTCTCGAAAATTTTCACACATAATTGCTGTGACTTTGGATTTTTTTATGGATTTCCATTTTTTTTAATACTTTTTTCAATCATTGCTATCCACATTGAAAAAACTGGCTGAACATCAAAGAACAACAAAAGTAATACAAATACATTTCGATGAACTGATAAAATGTTACTCAAAATTTCCATGAATAGCGTCGATAACAAGAAATTTATGAAATAACGAAAATCTCTCCATCCAGTGAGAAAATAATGATTGCTCTAGTCTAAAGGTTTTAACTAAACGCTATAAAATTTCCTCGCTTTTCCTCATTAAATAATTGATAACTATGGAATATACTTTCTTAATTACAATAACATACATTCGAAATACGTGACACAATCACGTAGGTGCAATCATAGGCTATCTTCCTCAATGGTGCAAGTTTTTTAGTTGTGCTGGCAAAATTCACCTAAAACGCTATAGGAGAAAAAATTTTACAGATGGACTATATAGAAAATATTGTTTCTAATGGTCAGTTAGAAATAATAAAATAATAAAATTAAAGTTAGAAATAATAATATAATACAGAAATATTTTAATAAAAGAAAACTAATTTTTTGATTCTTTTTGCATTACAAAGAGGGGTCCTCTGGCATAGAGATCAATTGTCTTGTTCCTCATAAATCCAGCAATAATTTTTATTGATATTAATAGAAACTTGTTTACCATTATCGGAATATAACTACAAGGCTACAAGGCAAAAAAAAAACTATATAACTTAACAATCATTAAAAATTGAGAAGAGTTAAGCACAATTTTTTACAAAGTATCCTAACTACAGCCTAAATTTGAACGAGGCTAAATTTAAAGGTATGAATATACTTAAGGCTATTTAAAGGCTATCTAAGGCTAAGGCTAGTTAAGGTTAAAATTAAGGTGAGAAATCATGATTTCCTCATTCGTACTATTAATTACTAGAATAAATTACATTATAATGTGACTTGAAAACAAAGTTCCATAGTTTAAAATGAATATTAAACATTGTGACATAATTTATTATATAATATTATTTTAAATTAACTATAACCACAGAATAAAGGTCTGACTGATTGAAATAAAGGTTTTTGTAGATTTCGGCCTAAAATAGCTTGGCGTTTTGATGTTTTATATTTAATTTAGCCTGCATCTAATCGTATTGGTATTGCAAGGGTTTAACTATATACCATACATGGTTATTGTATAAATAATGGAGTGATCACATGAAGAATTTTTTTTTTTTTTAACAAATTATCCGATTTTCTAAAACATCACTTTATCAGCAATTAGTACTTATTATCTATTGAATTTTATGCTGTTATGCTATTGTATTAATGTTTTAATCAATAGATGATCGTTGTATTATAAGATTTGAAATAAAATTTGGGTAAACTTTTAATATTTCAACATATTTTCAACATATTATATGCATTCACTTTACTATTTCATATATTAGATCTTGTGATAAGAAAGATTTATCACTGATACGATTAAAGATTTATCATTGATACAATTTCAATTTCAATTTTAAATTATTGTCGAAAATGCACTCTTGAATATTTGCAAAACAATCAACCACATTCTCATTGCTACTGTTCAAATAAATTTTTTTCATTTTTAATAGGATTCATCCATTTCTCAAAATTTTTATAAATGATGTTTATGAAAAAAAAAACAATTTTCATTGACTAAATTTATTAAAATGGTACCATAAAATATTCAAATTCAATTTTTCGAAAAAAATTTAGGGAACTTTTTTTTAAAATTTTTTTCGCTAATATTCTCATTGATTATTTGCTAGAATCGTTATTTACGTTATATTTCGTTTTATCAATTTGTATCAAAATCATTATAATCATTTAATATTTAATTTATTATTTAATGTTTAATAAAGATTACAAAATGAAGAAAATAAAAATTAAGATTCGAAGCTAATTAAAAATTACTTATATAATTTCTATGAGTTATAATATGATTTAATAGCTATTTTATAGAATAAAAAGGAAGAAAAGAACAAAGAAGAGGAATGGTAGAAAGGAAATGGGAAGAATGAAAGGAAAAACAATAGGGCTAAGCAATATCCTTCAGAATATTAAACATAAAACAAGTGACAATTTAAAAAATTTAGAAATAATAATGTCAATACTAGTAAAATTTCTATACATAACAAATGAATTACAAATTATTAATTTTGGCATTAAATTTTAGGCATTTTTTTGCGTAATTTGCAAGAAATCGCCGATTAAAGCAAACTATTGCTTTACATTAAATGATAGTCAATCTTAGTTCTCAGCTATAAAATGCACAACTATAAAATGGGCCTTAAGGCTTTTTAGAGATAATTAATTGCACGTACTCTTCCCTTTATCTTTTCTCATCCTTTTCCTTTATTTTACGAGTCGTCGTTATGATAATCGTCGTTTTTTTGCCATTTATAATTAATTAGTAATTATAAGTAATTAACTAAAGCAAATTTTTTAAAATTTACATAATTCTCCTAAAATTAGAATTTCAATTTATTTATTTTTAAATATTAAATTATATTTTCAATTATATCCAAATTATATTTTATTATTATATATATTATAATGTATATAATATTGTAATATTTTTATTTGCTTAACTTAATTATAATTTTAAAATAATTTTTTATTTCAATTTTATTTTCATTGTTTTTCATTGCATATAAAATATTATCAGAGGCCTTGTGTGGTCGAGTCATAGTCGTCTTTTCATCATAATATACTTTGATAATCAGTGGTGAATCTACAATTTCTTCATTAAACTTGTTTCTATTTAAAATAGATCATAAATCAAAAATTGCTGATTGATATTAAAGATTGTAACATTATCATTATCACCATCGTCACCACTGTTACCACACATCACCATCTTAACATTTCTATGGGAATTGCTGTTCTTCGACGATATGTATTTTGAATTATTTATTTCAACTTTCATGTTAATTTATTCTTTTCAATAGAATATTTATTTCATAGCAAAAGCAAAAAAAAAAGAAAAATTTTTGTTTTTTTAACAAAAAGATAGAAAAAAATATCAAAAATTTTGCCTTCTTGAGAAAATAATTTTGTGTGTATCATTTAAAATTATTATTTGTCGTTAAAAAAATTTGACTGAAATTAATTTTGAAAAGTTTTGTAAAAAGATATTTCAAAAAAACAAAACTTGAAATGATAACTTTAATATTTTTTTCTTTTTTGATTTTTTGTTGAATTGTTTAAAAACTGAAGAGGTTTCGAAATATTCACTGCCTCCGGCGATAATTCACCATTTTTCTTACTCCACTCGAGTATAAGATTTCGACCTAAAATGGCTTTTATTTTTAATTTCGTTTCTAAATCAGTTTTAATCGCATATTTAGAAAGAAACATATGATTTTTATGGTTCTGCTAATGTCTACTGCAAAAATAGCCCTTTCGAAATTCGGGTAACACTAAAGATTTATGGATCCAAGCTAAAAGGTAACTCTTAAGTGATTCCTACGATATTCCTGTACTTTCAAAGTTGTACTATCCTAAGTTGGATGGAGTAAGCCTAGCCAGAAATGCATGCTGAATGCTATTGGCTATTGTTTTTGGATAAATCCATTATGTTTCTTTGGATTATATGTATTATTGCAAATTTTTATCGATAATAGGATGCAAAGAATTGTATAAATATTTTCGCGAATATTTTTATGGATTCCTTTATTATTAGCTTTTTTATAAATTTTCCATTTTTTCAATATCATTTATTTAATCGTCAAATTATTATAGAATTTTTATTTGTTTCGAATTTTAAGCGTTTAATCTATACGTAGTTGTTGTGAATTATATTTTGAAAATTTTTTAAGAATAAAAAAATTTTCAAAATCGCTTAGTCAAAATGTGTGGTATATTTGGCTATTTGAATTTTCTTGTTCCTAAAAAACGGAATGAAGTGATTGAAATCTTACTTCAAGGACTAAAACGTATGGAATATCGTGGATACGATTCGGCTGGTTAATTTTTTTGCTAATTTTGAAAATTTATAATTTCAGCCAAAAAAATATTTGCACTACGCCATGCAAATTTACTTTTAAAATTCTTACATAGATCCATATATATATATATATAAATTGTTTTTTTTATTAAAAAATTATAAATTATGCAACAAAATTATTTGCAAAATTATCGATCATCGCCATTATAAAATGCTAAACAGATTCAATTTCGTCGTTCATTTGAATTGTTGATAATAATTATTTTTTTTTTTTGCTTTATGATAATGGATTTAAAAATTTTTTTAGGAATTGCAATCGATGGAAGTAACGACATTGAAAAACCACATTCAAAAATCGCTCTTATCAAAAAAGTGGGCAAAGTCAGTGTTCTAGCGGATTATATAAAAGGTTCAATAAAAAATAACAAAATTCCATCCATTTTCCAAATCATATTGAGAATTTAAGTGATTTTTAGTATTTTTAACAATTTTTTAAGAATCGGATGAATGCAAAGAGCTGGATTTTGAAATGGAATATATTATACACTGTGGGCTTGCGCATACGAGATGGGCAACTCATGGATCACCTAAGGATATTAATTCTCATCCACAAAGATCCAATTCTAACAATGGTCTACATTTAATAGATATTAATTAATTTCTTTCTACAAAAAATATAACTATTAATAATTCATCAATTAAATTTTCTGCGTTGAACTAAATCACTAAATCACCAGAATTTTCATATAGAATTCCTTGTCGTTCATAATGGTATAATAACAAATTATCGCGAGGTGAAGGAGTATTTATTGAAGAAAGGATATGAATTTGAATCTGAAACGGATACGGAGATAATTGCTAAACTCATTCAACATATCGCTGATAAAAATGTCGAATTCAGTTTTCGTCAACTTGTCGAAGTCACAGTTCAACATCTTGTAGGTCTTTTTTTTTTAATTTATCAATTCATTCTTATCAACTGGCAAATTTTGATAAAATTTTATTTAAAATTTTATGATTATGATAATTTTATGATTATTCTTTGAATATTATTTTTATTTTTGAAAATTTCTGCAAAAAAAAAAAAAAAAAATCCAATTTTTTTCTAAAAGAATGCACGAATGGTTGAAATTTTCAATAAATTATTATAATTTTATTTAATTCTATTAAAGGAAGGAGCTTTTGCATTGGCATTCAAAAGTATTCGATATCCTGGTCAAATCGTCGCAACAAGACGTGGTAGTCCATTACTTGTCGGTATTAAGAGTTCTTCGCCGATTACCACCGATCATTTTCCGGTATTTTTTAGTAAAGGTTAGTAAATTTTTTTCTTAAATTCTTAAATTTCTTAAATTCTTAAATTTAAATATTCTCCATTCTAATGGTAAAATTTGGAATTTCTTTCGAAATTATTTCAAATATTTTAAGTATAAATTATGAATGTTTCTAATGCCTCTCATGCTTTTTAAGGCATTTTTATTAATTTTATAAATTAATTTATTTTGTCAAATTAAAAAAAAATTTTTTTTAGCAAAAAATTTACTCAATTCACACCTTAAAAATGAAGTATCATTTGCGGAAATGCAAAAACCAACTTTCAATTCGAATTTATCGTCAACTTTTTCACCTTCGTCAGGTGATCGCCATGAAAATTCTTTTCTATATTAGCCTTTTTTTTTTAAGAGTGCTCATCATTACTGGTTAAACTCGTTCCACTGGCTTGTCGCATTGGGCAATATACCATGGAGTCCCTTGGCGATAGAAATACAGGTGAGTCGCCAGCATCACCTTGATTTTCGGACAGGTTTACTCCTGCGGGAAATCGAACCTAAGCATCGGTGTTCCAATTGAGCAACAACCTACCAATTCACTGAGCAGTTCTATCCCTCTATACTAGCCTATTTACTATTGTAAAAAAATAATTATTTTTCTTTATTCTCAATATGATACTATTCGATAAATTTTTATGTGAACAAATTAAATGCTTTGAATATTCAATGAGTGAATAAATAGCAATATTGAAATTTTCGATTTCTAAAATTTTTATAAATATGATTTGCCTTATAATTTATTGATGAATTTTACAGAAGAAAGAAAATGTTCGACGACTTCGATTAGGCCGTTTAATCCGAATGATAGCGGAGTGGAATATTTTTTTGCATCGGATGCCAGGTTTTTTTTCAAAATTATGCATATTTATTTGCTAAAAATAAACATCGTTAGGTGCGTTGCGCAAACAAATGTTCTTTTAATTTTTTTTTTTTGATTTTAGTATTTTAGTATAATAAATTTAATTTAATAAATAATAAATAATGAATTTTATTGTTTCGATTAACAAATCTGAATAAAGCCATTGAAAATCGTTTTTAGATGTAAAAATGAAATGTAGTGTATAAAAATGATATAATGGGATGGAATGGTTCAGTAGGTTGTGTTGCCTTTATTTCAGAATGCCAATCTTGAAGTTTTATTTCCGGTAGGAATAAATGCGTTCTTCGAAAATCCGGATTTATCGCCAAAGGGTAAAAAATTCAATCCGGCAAAGCAGTGAAGCGAAATTGATTAGGAATTTTCTCTAATCCATCGCTTAATTGAAATTTTTCTATAAATATTTCAAATATTTTATTTTATCTTATTTTGAAATGAATTCGCGATTTTCTTTTTAGCGCGATTATTGAACATACAAAACAAGTTATTTTTCTTGAAGATGACGATGTGGCATTTGTCGAAAATGGATGTAAATTTTTTTAAAATAATATTTTTAATTTTTAAATTAATTTTAATTATTTAATTTAATAATTTAACAATTTCATAATTTTATGATTTTTAATTTTAATTAAAAAAATAATGGAAAATGAATGCTTAGCATATTAAGCATTATCAATACATCGAATATGTCGAACGAATAATTCGCCCGAATTTCGCGCAATTCAAAACTTAACACTTGAATTACAACAAATAATGATGGGCGAATTTAAAACATTTATGCAAAAAGAAATTTTTGAACAATCTGAATCTGCCGTGAATACAATGCGTGGTCGTATTTTAGCAGATGGCCGAGTTCAACTCGGTGGTATTAAGGTTTGCGTTCATTTCTCGTTGATTTCGCGCTATTTCGCTGATTCTTTAAAGCATCGATAAATTAGCACTTCAAATTATCTCACAATTATTATATTTATTATATTATAAATTTTATTTTATTTTATTGTTTTTTTAAATTATTGAATTTTTATTATAAATTATTATTTTAAAAATTATTATTAAATTTAATTTGCATCTGATCATTTTTATCAATTTTATAAATTTATTTTTCTATGCTACTTTTTTTTAAAAATTTTAAAAAAAAGAAAAAAACATTGTTAAATAGCTTATTTATTCTTTTCAAAAATTCTCAACATTATCAAAACCACATTTTTCTTTAATTTTCATTAAACTGTAGAGGATTATTAGTTTTTTTTTGTGGTAATACAACGAAAAGGCAGATAGCCTAGTTGTATATTATTACTTCTGGAATTAAGTACCACGGATTCAATCACTCGAGACGAGAGAATTTATTAAGAATGAAAGATATGATATTATTGGGAATTCACTCTGTAATTCTGAATTATTCCAAAACATTTGTTCCAGAATTTAAAAGATTTTATTTTAAAATTAGGCAAAATTAGTTAACCAAATCGAAAATGGTAAGTACCGTTCGGAAAAGGTTGTGAAAAAAATTTGACGATGAATAGAAATAGGCACTTTGTGTCAAATCTTGTGCCATATTCAAATCATCGAATTTTTTCAATTTTTTGGAGAACAACGTGATAAACGAAGTACTTCAAAAAAAACATTAGAAAATATTAAATTAAATATTAAAATATAGGCTAATCGTTATTTGCTTTTTAGGATTATTTGGCTGATATCAAGCGATGTCGGCGACTAATACTAATTGCTTGTGGTACTTCGTATAATTCGGCAATCGCGGTTAGTTTCTTTCTTTTTTTTCTTATTTTTTATTTATTTATTTATTTATTTTTCTTATTTCTTATTTTTATCAACTTATACAATATATTTTGCAAATATTTTCTCGAATATATAATAAAATTTTTGAAAAATTTTTTAGATAATTGGCAAAAATTATTGGAATGTTTTTAAAAAAAAAGAATTTCTTAACGAATTAAATTAAGTGTCGGCAAATAATGGAGGAATTTACGGAATTGCCGGTTATTCTTGAATTAGCTAGCGATTTTCTCGATCGAGAAACTCCAATTTTTCGCGACGATGTTTGCTTTTTCATATCGCAAAGTGGAGAAACAGCCGATACTCTTAATGCCTTAAGGTTCGAAAAGTATCATTAGTAGTAGTACCACATTATTTTCAGAATATAATTGTATCAGATTTTTTTTTCTATTCTATCTTGGAATGGAACTTATTTCGCTCAATCAATCAGATATTTCAATCAGATATTGTAAGCCACGAGGGGCGCTTTTGATCGGTGTAACGAATACTGTTGGTAGTAGTATTTGTCGTGAGACTCACTGTGGTATTCATATTAATGCTGGCCCAGAGATTGGTGTCGCATCAACTAAGGTATTTCTTAAAACAAATTATAAACCATTTCTTAAAATGCAACTGATAAACTAAAAAATAGAATTTATTTCCGGAATTTTTTCGGCAATTGCAATTTTTAATAAATCGAGTGATATGACGAATGATAAGAAATTAGCATAAATTAACGAAAAAATTTCCTATTAATGATAAAATTCTGATATTAAGAGAAACTTTGTCCCAAATGTCTCTCTTTTTTGATGGTTTTTCATTGAATTGAGCCCTTTTATCGAAATTTTTAATTTATTTCGACAATTTTTCAGGCTTATACATCACAAATTTTATCATTAATTATGTTTGCGCTATCAATGAGTGAAGATAGGATATCAATGCAAGCAAGACGCGCAGAAATTATTCGTGAACTTCGTTCTTTGCCAGGTTCATATAAATGGCTCTTTTTACAATAATTAGTAAATTCAAAAACAATAGAAAATGAACTGATAAATTTTCTCTTATCAGATGTTTAGAAATTTTTTAATATCAGATTCTTATCATTAATTCATGAAAAAAAATATGTAAAACTAATTTTAGATTTAATTCGTGAAACGTTAAAACTCGACAAAGAAGTTTTAAATATTGCGAAAACATTACAAAAAGAAAATTCTTTACTAATAATGGGACGAGGTTTTAATTTTGCAACGTGCCTTGAGGGTGCCTTAAAAATTAAAGTAATTTTTTTCATTTTTTTCAAAATAATTTCATTTTTTTAATAAAATATTTAACTAGAATTTATAAAGAAAATTCATTAAAAAATTTATTTATATTCGAATTTTTCTTTTTACATTTTAAATTTCAATCATTCATTGTTTAAGAATTGCTAAATAGCTTCCTTTTCTTTTTTTTTTTTTAAAGGAACTAACTTATATGCATTGCGAGGGAATAATGAGTGGTGAACTGAAACACGGTCCTTTAGCGATGGTCGATCGAAATCGCAGAATCGTTATGATTATTTGTAGTGATAACGTTTATAAAGTAGGGTCTTATTTCACGGTTATATTTTGTTTATAATGGTTTAAATAATATATAAATATAAAGCAGAACGATAATTTAGAGATGTGTTGCGTAAGAAGAAATGAGCCTGGTCCTCGCATTTGCTGCTAATATAGCCTAAAGCCTATACTTTATAATATTAGATTGCTTCATGAAATGAATCTTCTGAATTTTCGGATTTAAACTATAGAATTTTAGAATGATGAAGTGAATAGGATTTTTGAAAGGCATGTACTATAATATAAAGTTAAATAGGTTTATGAGCCTAGGAAATCATAAAAATAAGCCATAATCTTATATGAGCCACATGTTGACAGCCTTATATGAGCCTAGGAAATCATGAAAATAGGTCATAGCCTTATATGAGCCCAGGAAATCATGAAAATAAGCCACAGGTTTATATGAGCCTAGGAAATTATGAATATCATAAACTGCTCAATATGGACAATTAATTTTAGAAATCGCTAAATGCTTTACAACAAGTGATTGCACGCGACGGTGATCCAATAATAATTGCCGATTCAGAGGTGCCTAAAAATGATTTGGCTAATAGATCGCATATATTACGTGTACCTAAAACAGTTGATTGCATTCAAAATATTTTAACCGTTATACCATTACAACTTCTCAGTTATCATATTGCTGAACTAAATGGTTTAAATGTTAGTTATTCATTTTTTTTCTTCGATCTATTTCCTTCCTTAATGATAATAATAATAATAGAATATAATCGTCAAGTGATTAGGATAATCAACACCTTATCAATACTTTATTAATCTATTTCATCATTTCATTATTTTTCAGGTGGATCGTCCAAGAAATTTGGCCAAATCAGTTACGGTGGAATAAAATTATAAATTTATCAATTTTTTTGCGTTGTATTTAGCTATTCATCCTATTGTTATAGTTCTTTTTCTATAAAAACTCCTTCTTATGATAATTCTTCAATTTTTATGCCTTAAGCTACTTTTCTTTTCCAGTCACTTTATTTTTTAAACCAAATAGTACAAAATACATTCATTAATAAAAACAAACAAACAAGTTCAATAATAGTACTAATATAATACAACAATGAAAACATAGAGGAGATCAAAATTTATGCAAATCCTATAGGCTTAAAAAGCCTCACAGAAAATCTTTAAAATCTTTAAATTAGGATTTTCGGCAATATAAAAACAACAAAATAAATTATGAATAAATAAAACTCCATATAAATTATATAATTCGATTATATTATTTTAACAATCCATTTATAATTCAAAAAATAATTAATAATAAGAATTCATTCAACAATAGTGATTTAAGGGGTAGTGAATAGGGGATAAAAAAGAGATAACCCAGGAAATAAGATTAAATAATGTACAGAAAAATATCAGTCCGAATCACACAAATCAATAATTTCCTTAGATGCAGATTTATTCAGTATAAATATATCGCCTTTTCCTGTTGTCTTTCTATTGTTTGATTCTGAAACAAACAAATTTATAAATAACTGTGCTTTATTTTCTAAAACTAGGCTATAAATTGTTCAATCGATAAAAATATATGAAACTGAAATAAAAGCTTCTTACTTCGATTTGGATCATAAATCGAATTTCTGGCATCATATATTTCACCATTCAAAGAGCGAAGAAAAACTCCCGTAGGCAAAGTAACCAAGAAAAGACGTTCGTCTGGCATTAACTTATGCATTTTTCCAGATTCCGTTATGGATGGCAATGTTAATTCTGAAAAATCATAGTTGACAATAAGACAACAAGCAAAAAGAAAAAAAAATTAGAAAAAATATTTAAAGAGTTCAATATTTTCTGAAGAAAAATTTACTAGAAGGAAGTTAAATTTTCCTTTTCCCGATGAAATATAAATGTATTATTCAAAAATAACAATTCCTCCTAATAAAAAATGGCCAATTTCAAAAAAGAATTCTGATCACCTCTATCCACTGTTATTTGTGTAACTTTTCCACCTGCTAACATATTTGCCGCGTTCTTAACTTCGATACGTTTTTCTTTACGACGACGGATAAAATCTGTTCTTTCTGGATTGAAAGGCAAGATTTTTTGAAGAACCATTTCCAGCGGCGTAGGTGTTGGTGTCGGTTGCATCAAAGAATAAGGCCCAAAATCAGGCCTACAAACAAAGAAAAAAATAAAAAAACGAAGATAAAAAACAATTTAAACTCAGAAAATTACAACTTACAAATGTGCAGTAGAACTGTAAGTCCGATCTACGAAATTTCCCTGCGAAGACGATGTGAAAACCTGGCTTCCAGAACTCCGCAAAAGATCAAGATTATGATCGACTCTGTCGTAAAGACATTTTTCTTTTTCATATAGAAGTTGTGCTTCAATTTTTTCTTCCATACTAAGACCTTCTTCTCGTTCGAAAAGCAATGACTCATGCAATATAGGCATCTAAATGAAAAGAACAGTGAGGAGCTGGTGATCAAAAGTTTTGTGGGAACAATTTATCAATTTACAAAAAAAAAAATAAATAAAAAGATTAAAGCATAAAATTATGAATGTCTTTTTCAACACAAATAATAACAGTTAATTTGGTTCCACTGGGATTTTTTCCCAGAAGTCTTGCCGCTATACTTGAAAATAATTGAATCAACTCCAGCTACACATCGCAATGACGAGGAATACAGTCCAATTAGTTCGTAAGTGATGCTTTGTGATATCATCGATAGAGATGAAATTTAAGTTAAAGCTAAGGATTCTGCCATGTTTTACTGGCATAAGATGCATTCTAAGCAGAAATAGATCAACGTTGCACCTCGATGTTTTCCTATGTGACTAAAAATATACCTCAACCATATAACATTTCAACATATAACATTAAAATTCTCTATACTATTGTTTTGAGGATGATTTTCGAATAATTCTCCTATTTCAACATAAGATAAGTCGTAAGAAGAAAGAAATGTAAGAAGAAAGCAAAGCACTTTTAAAAGCAGATAGTATCCCATCTACAATTTAGTCGCGTAACAGCGGATCCAAAATATTTGAAAACTTGTAACTTTAAACCGACAATGCATCATACATATAAGAATTTTGCCATCATTAGCTTTGGCAATTTAGCGAAGCAACATAGTCCACAATCTGATATCCTTCGTGTATATCCTTCAACTATGACGTCGAGAAAGACTCTGTTAAGCTTAGCGGAAAACCAAGACCACTTCTACATGGAACATATCAAGAGCGAATGAAATGCTTTTTTTGAAGCAAGTGCAGGTAATCTAATAATTAATACGACAGTTACGTTCAACCGTGACTTCTTAATCTAATCTTAATTTTTTTATTAATCCAATCCTTTCGAAGATGAAAATCGCGACTTCACTAATAAATGCTAAAGGTCCTGAGATGAAGAAACCTTCTGGAAGATAAGCGATGTGCAATTGATATTTGGACATAAGGGTAAAAGGTTGTCATATATACATATATATATATATATATATATTAAGTTACATATATACATATATAGCCTGATCCGTCCATCCATCTTCCTTAATGATTTAAAGTACTTTTGGTTAATAGAATTTCCATTATTAGATTTATGCAGCCTAATTATAGAAAAAATAGAGAAATGGTGAATTCTCATCGAACATTTTAATTATTGTCCATTTATTCTTGATTTGCTGACAGGAAAAGGAAATATTAGAAAATATTAAATATAATTTGATAACAACAAAATACATTATTTGAATTTATATCGCAATATCGTAAATAAATACTATGGTTATAATAAAAAAGTAACAAATAAAAACTATAAAAATAAATAAAAACATTTGATATTAATTTTAGAAACCTGAGAGAAGAATTTCGAATATTTGGATGCAACGACCTTAAGAAGTTCATCTTCTATATGCCACGAATTGACGTCGAATTCAGTGTTATTTATATCCAAGGCTTCCTAAATTATTATAATTATATTTATAACTTACTATACGTTAATTCAAGGATTATAACTGAATTTCTTGAATTTTTTTTGACTTAAATATTTAAGTGTTAATTGTTATGAGAGAGCTGAAACAAACATTATAGACAAGTAATTGATCCAGTTCTTCCTTTGTTACATCAATATCTGTCTGACGGTCATCGACGACTCGTTCTGAAATTTCATTATGAATGGATATATAATATAAAAATTTAATCACAAAGAATTAAATGCAACAAACTTAATAATCCAAATTTTCCGAGCTGACGATTGAAAATAGCACGCTCCATACTATTATCTATTATTAATCGATAGATATAAGTGCGCCTCGTCTGACCATATCTATATATACGACAAATTGCTTGTGCATCATGGCAAGGATTCCATGATACGTCGTATATAATGACTCGATTTGCTGATACCTAAAAAATTAAAATTACAACAACTAAACTGAATAAAAAAGAGAAACGATTAGAAATTACAGTCAAATTTTTTTTTCCAACAGAAAATAATGAAGAAAATTAAAAAAGACGAAAAAATAGAATAACTCACAAGATTAATTCCTAGAGAACCAGCTTTGGTTGATATAAGAAAAAGGTTAACATTGGAATTTTCATTAAAAAGATTAATAAGACGCTCTCGTTCAGTAGCTGAAGTCGACCCATCAAAACCTATTAACACGAATAATTGCACAAATAGGCATAAAAATAAGTATTTCAATAATCCAAAGAAAAAAATATTCTATGAAATCAAACTCAAATAACAATTTCACAATATTAGAACCTATTAATACGAATAAAATTCTACACAGATAATCATAAAAATATTTTAAATCATTTCAAAACCGACGAAAATAATTGATGAAGCGTTTCCAAGGTTGACCACCATTTAAAGCTGTTAAAGTACTATCTTTTTTAATATACTGTTCGATTAAGTTCAACGACAACAAACTTTGGCTATAATTATTAAAAATGAATATTGGAATACAAAAATATATCCTTACAAAAGAGGCTGCAAAAAATCGAAACAATTAAATAAAGCAAGAGAAAATTCGTATAGCAATTAGTATTTTAATATAGCATTTCCTACAAAAAATGTACCTGAAAAGCAAAATTTTCTCGCCCATAAGAACAGCTTGTTGAATTATTGCCAAAGACAAAACAATTTTATATCCATTTTCGATATTTCCCATCACATAATTGTCCATAATAGAGTAAGCCTAAATCTTGTGTATGATATTATGCTATTATTAAAGATAATCTGTTTTTTGTAGGTAATAGAAAACATGCAAAATTTTTCGAATGAATACACTTAAGAATATCTATTGAAAGGTAAAAATAAAAATAAAGTATTTAGAGCGATCCTGTTATAAAGGCGATAACGTATAGACGATAAACCAAAACTTACCCAATCATAATTTACTTTGTTGTCTAAATCGAATTCACCCAATAGCAATCGGTCAACATATGTTTCTTTGTGCTTAGAGAAATTATTATCAAGCATATTTTCGCAATTCTGTATGGGTGAATGCGAGCGAGAAGAATCACGAAAATTACGTTCTAAATTATGTAAGTAAAAAATTAGGTGCCGCTGAATTTTATTCTAAAATGCCAAAGACAAAAAATAAAAAAATACAAGAAATTAAAGAAGGTAAAATCCATGTTAACATCCATTAATATAAAAAACTATACCTGTTCTTGAATTGCTATTAGACTTGATCTTTTCACTGGATTTTATTTCATTCATTTTATTTGCATTATCCAAAGAACTATCATGCAGCCATTCAGTATAGGTATAATTTTCTGATAAGCTTTCAGTCCATTCCTTACATTGAGAATTATCAGCTACACCAGTTTTTTCGCGACTTTGAATATAAGCTTCTTTTTGTCGCCTAAGAACCACATACAGGATATCTGGATGAGCCCAAATCTGAATCAAATACAATAAAATAAGAGTTGAAGATTAAAAGGTTAACTGTGGTTATAATGAATAGCCTAAAGATTTATCTCGTGAAGTTCAATTTTTATGGATCCCAGATTTGAGATTGAGAATTTGTAAATATACAATTTCGTAATATATTTTTGCCTAAACAAGGCTGAAATACTGATGTACTAAGTTATGCCGAGACCTATAAACTCAAGTGAAATATGTTTTCCTGGATCTTCTCCTTAAGTTTATTTATTGCTAACCACTGTGAAATAACGGATCCTTTCTAAAAAGTCCACATTAAATGAATCATCTCAAAATAATCATTTATTTAATTATAAATGAATCTAGCATCCTAGTATTCTATCTTCTAACCTCTGTACAAACGTAGAGATTATACCCACAATTTTAAAGAAAGGTATATATGCAATTTCCAAAATATATTTAGCGAATGATCTTAAAAAAAGAGAGCAAAATTTAAAAAAAAACCTTTGAACAAACTGCGAATGCTTTTAACGGATTGAATACAGATAATCGAAAAGTTGTAATGGTAGATAAAGCATATTGAAGAAACGAACGATATAAAAGACGTTGTATGAGGCTTTTTCGCAATAAAATAATGAATTGAAAGCTTGGCGGCAGAATTTTTTTGAGCAAATGATGGGTTCGTCTGAAAATGCCAATTAATTAATCAAATTAATAGCCTTTCATTTTTATTAACATTTCCTATTTGATAAAAACAAATAGCCACCGTTGAACAAATCCTTTGAGCATTTCTACTAGAACGTGAGTGCGTTGTCGAGCAATTCTGACATCATTTTGAGTAGCATCGATACAAAGACCATTCGTAATCGGTTTTTCGAACATTATGGCGAATTCTTTTTTGGTGCCTAGATAAAATGGACGAACGAAATCAACCATACAATAATATTCCATCAAATTGTTTTGCAGTGGATAACCAGTTAAAACTATTCTTCGCCTGCAAATGAAACAGAAAGCTTACGTAAAACAGGCATCATTACTGCCGCAAAATGGCAAAAGTTAGAAGGATATGCTGGGGTCTGCCCGCTTTCACTTTTTTTTAAGACTCCGTTTGCGGCTTTAATACCCTTCATTAGGCCGATTGTCGATCATTAGATCATTTTTTCTATATTTTTTCGTGCTCCATTGGCACTTTTTTGCTTTTTTTATGTGCAGCGACTTCTATATTTCAATCTTCTTTCATTGTTTATTGTTTCGCTATTTCGGCATGCTACTAAATTACAGTGCACCACTCTGGCCTCGTTAAACCTCGCTTGTCAAACTTCTCTTCACTGATACTTAATTGATCGGTTATTAATTTGTTGACAAGGCGCTTAACTACTGGTTAGAATCTATATTGATTTTTTACGATCCCACAAGCATTTCGTTTTCGCCGTTTCCCGACAAATACTTAAAAATATCGAAACCATGCCATTCTAAAAAAACCTGGTTTTAATCAAGCTCAGTGTCACTGCGATTCCTGTTTTAAAATTCTTTATTCGATGACCTTCATCGCAAATAACCAGATCAGCACCGGGATCCAGTAAAGCACTGCGAAAATCTAAAATTATGGGAACATTATTTTAGAATATAACTGTTTTTAAATAAATGCTAGAACGAAGAATGGAGAAGAAACCTTAACATCTGGTTTTAGATTTAACTCCAACCTTTAACTTCTACAATCGTTATGTTCATGGTGCTTCCACTTTTATTTACTATGCAAAAGAGAGAAGTTATGACTTTTATTATCGATATTTTAATCAATTCATTTTTTGGCAACTTAACTAATGCCACCATTTTTCGGTGCAACTAAAACAGTGCCATGAAGTATACAATCATGCTATCGAGAATCACGGATTAATCTTTTTCTTTATTTTCTTCTAATTGATTATTACAGATGTATAAAGCATAAAGCGTAAAATGTGAAAGCCCATACTCACTATATTGTGTTCAATTTTTCTTTAAAATAAACCAATAAATATTTAAAAAATTTTTCAAAAAAAATATATATTAATATAATATACATTAATTAAAATAATAAAAACCTTTCAACATAACATAAATTAATAAATTAACATAAATTAATAGTAACATGAAACGTCTTCAAAAGGATATTAGTCATTAATATGTATATGGGCGTAATACGCTTCAAACCAAATCATTCAATTTCCATCAATTTTCTACTCTTTAGTATGGAAAAAAGAAATATTACCAGATGATTGGAGCAAAGCGATTCTGCTCCCAATTCTCAAAAAAGGTGTTAGGACATGCTGCGACAATTATCGAGGAATCAGCCTACTAGACATCTCAGCAAAAATTTTTGCTTCCCTGCTACTCAACAGATTCAACAGGCTGGTTTCAGACCAGGGCACGGTTGTGCTAACCAGATATTCACGTTAAGAAGGGTATTGGAACATAGCTTCAAATATTTGCAACCCACTGTCACGTGTTTCATTGACTTTGCGGCTGCCTTTGATTCAATTGATAGATCGGCGCTTTGGAGGGTGATGGAGGGTGACGGTGTTCCAGAGAAAATCATTAAACTCATAGTCATTTTATGACAGATTCCTTCAAAATAAAAACAGGTGTCCATCAGGGCTGCGTCCTTTCCCTCACAATAATCAACTATGTGATAGACTGGATAATGGACACTGCTTGTCGGCACTCAAGAGGTGTCCGAATTAGTCCACAGCATCGTATCACAGATCTTGAATACGTTGATGATGTAGTCCTTTTTGCTGACAGTTATAACGAAATGCAGTAACATTAAATAACGTGAAACTGTCAGAAACTGCAGCAAGAATCGGACTCAGGATCAATGTAAATAAAACGAAAATCTTTTCGTCTTATGTGCAAGAAGCTGATAAAATGCCTCTTTTTGTAAATTCATTGCCGGTTGAGGAAGTGCAGTGCTCGATTTGCCCGACTTTAAACATCTTGAATCCACTCTAATCCCAAATGACCAGGCAAAAGATGAAATTGTAATCAGGATAACGACAGCTAGAAGTGTGTTTTTTCCGGCTGATGAAATCTCTATGGAATCGTCGTGAAATCACCATAAAAACAAAAGTCCGCATCTATATTGCCGTGATCCGTTCGATCTTACTATATGGTTCTGAGACATGGCCAATGAGAGTGATGGATATCAAGAAGTTATTTGTCTTTGACCACTCTTATCTAAGGTACTAGTACGGATCCGTCGAGCAGATAAAATATCACAAGATCTTCGTTCAAATACCACTTGCATAAATAATGTTATCACAGAGCGCCGCCTTCGCTGGTTAGGGCACATTCTCCGTCGTTCACCACAGGAGTTGACGCATATTTCGCTATTTGCTAAACCATTGACGGTTGGCGTTAAAAGCGAGGTGGGCCAATCAAGACCTGGACTGATACGGTGAGAAAAGATCTTGAACGTATAAGGTGGACCAGCAATATATGGACTTAGACCATGGAAAAAGGAATGGCTTTCATTACTGTCGACGATGGCATTAGACCGCACCGCTTGGAAGCGTCTTACCCTTGTAACCGTTGGAGCCAACCTAACCAGTAATGGTGAGAGCTATTAGAAGAAGAAAAATGAAATAGATGGAGCAATGAGAAATGGATCTCTAACTATTTTAGCGGATTTTCGTAAGTTTTTAGCAAATACAATTTTCTTTAGAAATTTATCCAAATTTATTATTTAGAATTTTCATTTATAAATTAAAAAATATTCTGGAATTTGTGTCAGCAAATACAAAATCCTATCACTTTTCCTGATCAATCTGAAATCATCTTTTAATCAGCTTTCACAGCCTTGTAACTCTTCAACTGTTCATCTTTATGAAGCAAATCTTTACAAATCAAGGGAAATCAGTGCAAAGGATATTTGAAACCAGCCTAACTAGTAATGGTGAGAGCTGTTAGAAGAAGGATATTGGTCAAGAGAAAAATCAATTTAAAAAATCAATTAAAAACATGAAACCCATAATCCTTACCTTTAAGACAGTTATTACTTGAACTGTCGACATTTTTCGAAAATTTCTTCGCAGATTTCACTTGTACTAGCAATCGAAGCATATCATAGCCTATGAGTAAAACTCCACCAATTTTATGCCACATTTCTATAAAGAAATAAATAAATAATTTAATAACTTATTAACTTATTTAATAAATAACTTATTTAAAGATCATTATTTAAAAAGTAAATAATTTTATTTTTTTTAAAAAGGAAAGAAAAAGTGAAAGTCGCTTCAACATTTTCTAACTTTTCACTGATATTTTTCAGAAAATATCGATATCGATCAAATAAAAATAATTCTGCCATTTTTTCATGTCTAATATGACTTTGAAAAAGAAAAGAACAATGCTTACAAAGTATACCAGAACGCTTTAATCGAGCTTTAAGAGCGAATAAAAAATATGAAACATTAAAATAAAATCGAAAAATCAAAAAATAGAAAACCAATTAAGTCGATTCGTTGTTCAGTTTTTAATGTATCATTTACAAGCCAAAGTTTAAATTGCCGAATGTGGGAGCCATCTTCACCAATTTTACTTTAAAAAGTTATTAATACTTTAATTATAAATTATTATTTTACTTTAAAAATTATAAATTATTACTATTTAATAATTATTATTATTAAATTATGAAATAAAGCATAGTGAAATAAATATAAAAAATATTAAAAATTTAGAAAGAAAGCAGAATAGCAAACCAGAGAGAAAATTAAATTTTGATAATTGAAATATATTAAATTTTGCACAAGTCTTTGCATCATCCATTAGCTCAATTACCAAAGGGAATGGAATGCATAACATGCAGGAATAAATATTCACTTACCTTAAAACCTACTAATTATTATGTTATTTTACGCTGACTAAGAAAATAAAAAAAATAAAACTAACTTAGGTAGCCATTTTTCAAATTCATTGTACCAATTTTGGATTGTATTTACTGGAACAATGATAAGAACTTTTTTCGAATTTGTGACACGAAGAAAGATATCTATGAATGTTATTGCCTGAAAGTTATCACTAAAGTGAAGAAAAGAAAAATAAATAAAATCAAAATGTAAAAAAGGCGTAAAAGAAAGATAAATTTAAAAATAAAAAGATTCATCAAAGTTTCACGGAATATACTATTAAATAAAATAAATAAAACCTGAAGGGTTTTGCCTAATCCCATACTGTGGGCAAGAATGCAACCGAAACCACCAGATTTGGAAAAACCATTAACTGTTTCTATCACATTATCATACCTTGAAATAAAAAAAATGAAACAGAAATAATTAAAAATAAAAACAAATGAAATATCAAAATAAGAATCTAACATGAAAAATTCTAGGTAGAAAAATTACATGAACCGGATACCACCAAGCTGATGAGGTTGAAGTATAGTCTTCAAATGGCTTGGTACACAAACATCTGGATCATCAGCTGGCTTTCCTGCATTTATCAACAATTCACCATCGAAAAGTTCTGTATTCTCTAAATCATCAGAATTTCTTCGATTGTGAACTTTCTCCTTTTCTAATCGATGAAGCTGTCCAATCGCTGTTGAATTTTCATACTGAAATGAAAGAAATATAAAATGAAAAAAAAAATTTATTACGACGAATCGAATTAATTGGCTTTTTACTCATTACTTTTCCTTTCTTTTTTCCTTTCTTGATTTTATTTCAAAATTTAATATTTCATTTATTTTAATATTTTATTTTAACAATTCATTATTTTTTCTATTGGTTTCTATTCAAACTTATGATAAGATTTTATGCATTATTTTTTTATAATAAGTTGCAATTCGAAAGAAAATACTGAGAAACAAATGTAGGCCTATATTTGATCTAAAGCAATTTTAAAAAATTACCACCTCTCGGTGAAAAGATCGGAATGCAGAAGCCGGGAGCGGTCTGACCACTCCTTAAAATTTGAAGAAATTAATAAATACAGTGAAAAAATTCGAAAAAAAAATTTAATAAATTTTAGAATAAATCTTTTAAAAAATTTTATACTGAAAATAAAACAAAATAAAAAAAAAGAAAATTAGGAAAAGGAAAGGAAATATAATTACTGTCTGAATCCCATTCGACACCTGAATCATCATCGCTACTGAGTTCTATCACATCGATTCTATCAACTTTCTTATCGCTAGTAATAGGATTCTCATTTGTATCATTGGAAATTAAAGTAATTTCATCTGCTCCAGAGCCGATTTCAGAAGACTGGCATTCCATATTAGTGCAAGTATCAACAGATTCAAAAGGAATTTCAATTTTGTTACCCAAATTTTGATTTTCTAAATTATTATCACGCAATTTAATTAATCTTTCAAGACGTTCACGTTCATTTCGTTGCGCTTCTAATGCAATAGTTGACAGCTGTGTTTCATCGAAATCAGTTCTTGAAAAAATAACAATTTTAAAAACAAAATAAAATTAATAAATTTTTATTAATAAAAATAATAAACCAAAAATTAATAAATTATAGAAATTTAAAAAAAAAAATAGATTTTGGAGAATAATATTTATTTGAAAATATATTGCCTAAATGTGTTGAAAATTGTTTTAATTCATAAGTGACTGAAAGAAGAAAACCAACTTGATAAGTTTCCTTTTGCGTGATCGTTTTGTATGAGTTGGCAATGTAACAGAAAAAAGTTG